AGTTTTCTGTATTGAGATAACTTAGGGTTTCTGCAATACTGAAAGCTATGCCACTTGTGTGTCAAATGCCATAAGGGTTACCCATGGTTGCCAGGTTTCGGTAGAGCTCTCAGATTAATACAGACTAAGAAGAAGAATTGGCCATCTAGTTCTTTAAAAAAATAAGACTTTGAAAACTCTATGAGCACTAGAGGAATGAGGGTAGTTATAGTAGTATAACTATAGAGCCCAGATTGGAAGTCTGTCCAAATGAGGAAAAACAACAAGCATTGTTTAATAATTGGAACATGAAATGTACATAGCTTGAATGTTGGGAAACTGAAAATTACTAAAAAGGTAATGGAATGCATGAACATCGACATACTTGGTATTAGTGAGATGAGATGGACCAGCTTTGGCCATTTTGAATCAGATAATCAAATGGTATACTATGTTGGGAATAAAAAAAAAAAAAATAGAATAAGAATGGTGTTGCATTCATAGTAAAAAAGTCAGTTTCAATTAAAAAGAAAAGTCAATTTCAAGTTCTATCCTGAAATACAATGGTGTGAGTGATAGCATTAATATACATACACATACAAAGAACTGTTAACATGACTATCATTCAAATATACACTCCTATGTCTGGAACCAAAGAGAAAGAAATTGAACCTTTTTTACCAAATCATGTAGTCCAAAATTGACTGAATTATTTTTTAAAGAAATTTTTATTTTATACTGGTTTACTTACAAAGTTCATATACAGACTGAATTATTTTTTTTAATATATAGAGAATAATAAAATATGGATAACATTGAAAAAAAATAGGATTCGAGAACATTTGACTGTACTCATGCAAAACCTGTACAAGGACCAAGAAGCAGTCTTTCAAACAGAACAAGAGGATACTAACCTGCTTAAAATTAGAAATAATGTGCATCAGGGTTAAATCTTTCATCATTCCCATTCCGTCAACATGTATGCTGAACAAATAATTTCAGATGTTGAAGTATATGAAGTAGAATGTAGTAGCATCAGGGTTGGAGAAAGACTTATCAACAATCTATGCTATGCATATCACCTTGCTTGTAGAATATCAAGATAAAGGCCAAAGATTATAGCCTTAAGTATGAATTATACCTCAATACAAAGAAAGCAAAAATCCTCACATCTGGACCAATAAGCAACATCATGATAAATGGAGAAAATATTGAAGTTGTCAATGACTTTATTTAACTTGGATCCACAATCAACACCATGGAAGCAGCAGTCAAGAAATAAAATAACTCATTACATTGCACAAATCTGCTGACAAAGACCTCTTTAAAGTGCCCTTGAAAGTAGCATTGTAAAAGAATATTGAACATATCATCAGCTGCCAAGAGAACAAAGAAATTTATGCACAGTCAAGTGCTTCTTAGAAGCAAGATTAGGAACATTTCATCTTATATACTTTCGGACATGTTCTCAGGAGGAGCTGGTCCTTGGAGAAGGGTATAGTGCTTGAAAATTAAAGGGTCAATACGAAAGAGGAAGACTCTCAAACACTAACCCAGTGACTGTAACAATTGGCTTAAAGCACAGCGGAGATTCTGAGTATGGGACAGGAATGGACAAGCTCGATATGTTGTACAGGGGATAACTATGAATTAGAATAGGCTTGATAGTAATCACGTAAACAGCAGCAAAGCTACATAGTTAGGAGGTATGTGGAAAAGGAAGGATTTTGAAATTAGATACTCAGTCTGGTTGTTCCTGGTACCCAGAGATGCCATGGAAGGAAGGGCTGGTTCTTTACTTTTTTTTTTTTTAGAAAATAGTTTTTTATTTTATTTTTTTAAATTTTATTATTTTTGTGTGAGTGTACCATCAAATCAGATCTGATTGGTACAGGAGGAGATTGTCCCTCCTTCACCGGCAGAGCATCTGGTGGATTTGAACCGTGCACCTCTGGGATTGTAGTTGCAGCTCCTTGCCAGTAGGCCACCAGAGCTCCCCTTGTTCTTTACTTTTAAAATCAGCCACAGTAATCCCCATGGAAAAAAGTTCTCCTCTGCTATATTTGAGGTCACCATGAGATAGAAATGATTCCATGGCAGCTGATTGTCTAGCTATAGAATGAGTATTCAAATTATTTCATAGTGAGAGCTCACATACTGAAATAGCCAAAAGCAGTTAAATGGCATTTTTATTAGATTCTATTAGCCTTATGTGTAAAAAAAACAAGGGAACAGAGAAATCTAAGGCAATGTAGAGAGTCAATAAAAAGATTCAAGCAGAGATGAAGTTTATTATTACTGTGGTTGTTAGGTGCCATCGAGGTGACTATGAACAACAGATGTGAACCTTGCCTTCTCTTGTGCCATCTTCATCATCTCTGATATGCTCAAGGCCATGGTTACAGTCTGTCAGTCCATTTTGTTGTGGGGCTTCCTCTCTTTCCCTGATCTTCTTACCTTTTCCAGCATGATGTCTTTTTCCAGGGAATGACCCTTTCTGACAACATGCCCAAAGAATGTGAGATGAAGATTCACCCTGTATGCATACTATCAGTGATTTTGTCTTAGAAGGGTTTCCTAAGAGGGGTGGGGGGAGAAAATGTTAGAATAAGTGACTATAACTTTTCTGATCTGCCATCCATGGTGGAACAACCGCTAAGATGCAGATTTTTGTAAAAACCCCCAAGGTGAAGACCATCACCCGCAAGGTTGAACACTCAGACACAAATGAATATATTAAGGCCAAGATTCAGAATAAGGAAGGAATCCCTCCTGATCAGCAAAGACTCACCTTTGCTGGAAAGCAACTGGAAGATGGGTGAACCTTTTGACTACAACATCCAAAACGAGTCTACTCTTCACCTTGTGTTGAGACTTCATGATGGTGCTAAGAAAAGGAAGAAGTCTTACACCACTTCCAAGAAGAAAAAGCGTAAGAGGAAGAAGGTTAAGCTGGCTGTTCTGAACGATTACTGTAAGGTGGCCGAGAATGGCAAAATAAGTAGCCTTCATCGGGAGTGTCCTTCAGATGAATGTGGTGCTGGAGCTTTTATGGCCAACCACTTTGATAGACTTTACTGTGGCAACTGTTGTCTGACCTATTGCTTCAACAAACCAGAGAACAAGTAATTATGAGTTAATAAAAGACATAAATTAGGACTTAAAAAAGAAAGTTACTGCAAACTTCTATGATTAGAATTAACCTATTCACAAAGGTCTATATCCTTATATTATGAGATGAGCTTCAAGATACAAATAATATACAAATAATAGATACATACATACTCTTAGGAACAAGAGATCTAGGCCCGCCCTATCCTGTGCCATCCTCATCATCTCTGACACACTTGAGCCCATTGCTGCAGTCACCTTGTCAATCTACCTGGTTGAGGATCTTCATTTCACCGTCTCTCCGCCTTCCCAAGGCTATGAGTTGTACTTAAATGATGGCACCTAACAACAACATTCATCTGGTAATCTTAAGGATTATCCTGGGATAAAATACTGTCCCTTGTTTTCAAAAGATTTGAAGACGGGGGATCATGAGCCATTAGTGCTTTGCAAGTCTGGGTTCTACCAGACAAATGGGACCCTCACTCGGAATCAACACCCTTCACCTCTTTCCCACCTCACACTGTTTCTGGAGATTCCCCGATGTCCTTTCAGTAGACTTCAGTTCACGTGATTTAGAGACCATCGCCTTCTGCCCGTGCAACTAGTGACTGGACCTGTACCCAGAGGCTAATCTGCCTTTACCTAAAGTGCGTTTTAATCCCGTGAAGACAGGGAGTGATGAAGACACAAGGCCCAGAGACACCTAGGTGCTTGAAGTCTTAGGTCAGACTTTTAGGCGGCTCCAAAGAGGCGGCTTGCCTAATTAATCAGATCTTGAGGGTCAACCCCGTGTGCTGGTCTCTTCACCTGCCCTCCAAACTTTGCTTGTGCTTCAGTCCAAGAGGTTACCCAGCTCTTGCAGTACTTAATCACTTTGTCGTTGTGGTCTCCCCTCTCTGACCTCAAGGGACGCCGTGGGAATTGACAACACGCCTAACACAGTTTGCTGCCCAGCTTTTCTGGGGACCTTGCTATTACACCGGCCACACAGACTCCCAAGAACACCTCAACAACCGTTGGAAACATTTTATGGAGTCAAGACTCCATAGTGACCTGCCTGGTGCCAGTCTCCAGTTTGCCCAGTGTTTGTGTCCCACTTCGAAGTATGCTCGCGGGGGTGTTTAGCTGTCTCCAACAGTCAAATGATGCCTCCTCAGAGACCCCTACGGATGTGACCACCTAGCTCTCTACTCCAGGCAGGCCTCACAATCCCTACGCTCTACAACAGTCAACAGCTGCCTTAATTTTCCACCGGGGGCGTTTTTCTTCGTCTTAGGCAGGCGGTGGTTGTTGGGTCATCTGCAGCAGAAACTACTATGGCCTCTTCCTCTCCAATGTAGTCCCCTACCCGGCTGCGCGCTAGTGACAGCTTCCAGCTGTCTTGTAGTTTCTCTCTTATTAAGGGCTGGCTTGTGGAGGGGTAACTTCCCTTGTGGGGGCGCGCCCGTACCAACTCAGTCCCTTCCAGGCTAGTTCCTCAGGACCGGGTGCACTCCCTGGGACTAACATTGCAAGAGATGTTCTCCCCTGGCCCGAGTGTCCCCCCTCTAGTCTTCCTCTTCCACCTCCACACCCTCTCAAGCAGCCCGCTTTGCAAAACGCGTGGCCAGACAGAGCTGGAACCTCCGCGCCCAGCCTTTTACTCGGACTCGAGCACGTGGGGAACCCGGAGGGGTGGCGACCAGCACACAAATTGTGGGCATCCCGGTAGCACCGGCGAGGGTCGCTTTGAGGCCGGTGGCTACTCTGGGAGACCACAAGCTCTGCATTGGGGGTCAGCCAGCCAGGAATTGGAGCCGACCCCTCGCGGAGCTCCCACCGCCCCCTTCCGGCCGCGCAGACTCACACCCCTTTTCTGAGGAAGCAAATGGTCCCTTCCAGGCCGGTGGCCATGTTGCTCTAATAAAGCGGGAGGGGCGGCGGCGTGGGGGGAGCAGATGCTGCTGGTGGCGAGCGGGAGCCGAGTGCGAGCAGAGCGCAGCCGCGAGTGAGGCGCGGGGGAGGCGAACCGGAGCCGGAGCAGCAGGGTCGGCGGAGAGCACCCGGGCGCAGCGGGAGCCGCAGCCGCAATGGCCGTGGCCGTGGGGAGACCATCGGTGAGTGCCGGGGCCTGCCTCTCCTCGCCCCCTGCCCCTCCGGCGTCGGGTGGTCCTCGCTCTGGGCGGGGAATGTGGGGCTCGGGACCGCCGCCGCCGCCACTGTGGGTGTGTGCATGGATTGGGGCGCGTGTCTGGAGCAGAGGGGAAGGTGAGGAACCCCGAGATTCAGCTACTACGTGATGCAACAGTGTATTGCCTCGTCGCGCCCTTTTCCCGGGATGTGGAAGAAAAAGGACCCCCTCCTCCAATTTTTCCCTTAAAGGGATTCTTTGGCCATGGTGCTTCTCGGCTGCTTTTCTCTCCTCGCGCGCACCTTTCCCTTCCTGACAGCCGGGAAAGGCACCGGGTTGCGGGGGTTTCCTGCCGCGTTCCCGGCGCCGAGGGGGCGGCCAGGGCATAGGAGTTCTTACCCTGGGCGCTGCTTGTGCATCCCAAGCTTGTGGAAGCGGGTCAAAAAGAAAAGGGTGGGTTTTCCATAGTGGCTTCCCCAGTGCATTGTGAGGTTCCGGACACCCTCGGGCACCCACCCGGGTGCAGGGGCCCTGCCCAGGATATGGTCAGAAGCTGTAGATAACACTCACAAAGTTTTCAAAAGGCTGCCTTGTCCGGGTGGGTGTAAGTATTGAAATGCTCTGCGGCTGGAAAGCCGGGGGCGGTGGACCGAGGAGGTAGGGACGCGAGGATGAGGAAGGGAGGGTTGGTGCGTGGAGAATCGGGTGCCTCAAGGCTGGGAGGGATGGTACCAGGGTAGGGAAGGCTCAGGCCTCGAGTTTGGGGATGGAGGGGGCGTGCGCGCACGGTTCGGTTCCCGGCTCCCCAGCCGGCGTGGTGGGCGCTGGACTTGGAGGGTGCGGTTCGGGCAGTGCTGCGCATCCCCAACTCCCCGGTTGGAAGGCGGGGGCTGAAGGGACGCCGCTAGCTTTTCTCTTTTTTATTGAAAGGAGCCTCGCCGGTGGGAAAGGCGGAGTCCTCTTTCTTGGTCTCTCTTCCTTTGTTGCTTCAAGTCCACTTTCGCTGGGTCGGCTTTCGGGGGCGCCTTCGGCGGTGGTGGTAGTCCCCCTTTCCTCTTTTTTCTCCTCTGGTCCCCGGTCTTGAACTGTGAAGCTGCAGGTGGTGGCTTGAGAGCGTTTGTAGTTGGAGTGAAAAAAAAAAAAAAATCACTAGGAGATTCGAGAAGCTCTGAAATCCCAACCTTCAAGGCTGTCGCTCAGAAACTCTTCCCTCTCTTATAAATCCTTCCCAGATAACACATGCCTTTTGCCCCTTCCAAGCAGGAAGTCCATGGGGTCACTTGGCACATTGGAACTTGTTCTGGTGGTTGGGCGATTGAAGCTGTGTTTTCAAAAGATGCTGCCCATGGCCGGCCAGGGAATGTGCAGTGATCATACTGAAATGTAACTGTGGGTCTTTGAGACGTTTTGACTCTCTTAAGTATTTAGTAACCAACTCCTCTGAATTCAGATCACACACATGCTCTTGATGATTAGTGATTGTGGATAATTGTTACTGAGAGCATTGGGATAGTCTGTAGGATATCCTTTTATTTTTAAAGAAGTCCAGAGAGAGGAGAAAAAAATATTCCATCAGTTCTCTTCCCCACATTTATTTCCAGGATAACGAAAACAAGAATATCTGCTTGGAAGTCATCTAGGAATGGAAAGTTTGATTTTCTTTTTTTTTTTTAGGGGGGGGAGTGTAAAGTACGGTGTCTTTTTCAATAATACTTAACTGCTGGTGCATTCTTGAACGGGGGGAAGTGGAAGAAATAATTTGCTGCACATTTTCTATAAATTAGTTAGGTTCATATATGTCAGTTAAATAGAAACAGCATGTGGATTTAAGATTCAGTTGTGTGGCCATAATCATATCCAACACCAGGTCTGCTAACCAGATGTGAGTGTAATCCCACAGAACTCTTTCAGGGTTCAGACAATAAAGGAGATCCTTGAAAGTGTGCGTGTGGTAAGAAAGTGACTGCTCTGCACATTCTCTGTTGTCGCTGGAAGGACGATGAAATTACCTAGAGTTACTTAGCGTTTCCCAGCAGAAAGGCCTGGAGAACTTCTGTAAAGATTACTGCCAAGAAAACCCAGTGGGACAGATCTACACTGTAGCCCATGGGGCCATGCTTTGGGCAGACTCCATGAGCTGCTAACAGCGATTTGCAATTTAAAAACAGGAGCTTTTTTGATCAAGTTGTGGTTTGGGTAATCAAGAGTGCACCGTAAAGTTGAAACATCTTTACATACCCACAGAAAACTTGTGATGATAATCTCTCTCTGGAATTATTGAACTGTTTAACTCTGGGTGACTGTTTTAAGTATGGTTTTTGCCCAGAGGTTTTCAAAATAACTCCAATGAATGCAGAAGGCTGATTAAACCTTTCTCAAGGATCTACACTCCTTCATTCATGTTGCCTTTCCTTGTTTATTCTAAGATTTGAACAGAAAGACACATGTGCTAAGGAAAAAGAATTTCTCCAAAACTTGCTTGTGTAGTAGGAGTGGAGTTTTTCTGATACTCATATTTTTTTTGTTGTTGTTTGTTTTGTTAATTAGAAAAGCATGTGCTTATCTTGTTTCCTTATAAACAATTTTCCTTCCCATCCAATTTTAAATATTCTTGAGTTGAATATCTTAATGCAACATAAGTAAATGTAGCCATTTTCCCCCTGTGCATGTATCCTTTCTTAATAAATGCATTGTTACCTATTTTGTCAAATAGTTGCATTCATATATTATCATTTAAATCTAGGAACGAATTTCTAGTTCATGTTTCTTAAGTGGATTTGTTGTCCAGAGAATAAAAGCTCCAGTTTAATGATATTGTTTATTTCAATTTTTATCTCATCTCTTAGCTTCTCCATTTTGCAACTGATGATTTTGAAGCTTAGCCCTAAGAAGACCTTGAGGGAAGCCCATCTGCTGTTTCCAGAGTGCAACTGATGATTAGTTTTCCCCCAGGGAGGTGTCCATATTTTGATAATTTTATATTTTTGCATCCATATCCCATGAAAGCTATTATCTTTATTAAAAAGTATAATAATTTTTATGAGGATCAGGCTTGTGTAGCTGATCACCTTTATTTAGTGTCTCGTTCTCTCTCTGATTTTTCTTATTTTTCTTTTTAGGTATTTGTGTGTGTCTCTGTGTTGATTCCCCCCCCCCCCGCCCCCCCATGTCTCATTTTTAGGAGTGGTGTTTATCTAGTAGAGTCTGAGAATTGAAAGGGCTTCTGAGGTCATATGATCCAGTCTCCTCCTCACTTGAGAAGAATTTATTTTCTAATAGAATGTATGCCTTTCAATTTTTCTCATGGTGGAGAGTCTCCTATAATTTAAGAGGCACGTTTAGTTGTTCCTTTGATCTGTTGAACCAAAAGGAAAGGAGAAGCCAAATTGAGTCATTCACTCATTTAACACTCAGGAGCCATGATCGTTCAAGGTGATAGAGATCCAGCAAACCCCTTGCTTTTTTGGAGTAAGAATGAAAAGAAAAAGATAAAATTTATTTTCTGAGCAATTGGATATACGTGTACATTGAAGTGACAACTTCAGTGGAGGATGTGAGCAGTTTAGGGGGAAAGGCCTATTTCTGAATCAAGAATGATAATTCAGGTATAGGGTCTTCTCTGTAGGAGGATCATTCTGTCAGCTCCTGGTTTTCAACAAGGGAGACACTGATAATGAAATGTTTTTCCCCTTGTCATAAGAGCACCATGTCTAACTTGCCCCTGATGTAGGACTCTGGCTGTTCTAGGAGAAAGATTAATGAAGCTGATAAAGGTGCAGGGGACGGTCTTTATCAGTACAGAGGGCTGTCAGCTAGCAGGAGGTTTTAAAACATTAGAATTCTAGTCCTTAATGGTAAATTATGCACAGTTATAAATGATAAAGCAATTATTTATTAAGGAATGCAGTAAGTATTTATAAAGGTCAATATTTTTTTTTAAAAATCTTTTGAAAACCTTTGTTAGCATATCTTTTAAAAAGCATCTTACTCTAAAATGATGAATTTATGTTATAATGAAAATGGATCCAGAGAATTGATTATATGAACAAAATTACTGGTATCCCACCAATCCAGCATAATAGCTCTTTGATTGTTGGTGTGTTTTCATAAACTTTGAGGTTTATAGCAAGCCTAAACCGTATTTTCTAAATTGCTACTTAGAGACCAAATCGTGCCCAGATGAGCCGTATCTGACCACTTGGACACACTTTATTGGAGGAAATAGATACTTAGTGTTTTGGCAGTGGCCACCTCATTTCTTTGTCCGGAACCAAGGAAGGAATGAACGTGACACTGCCACTTGGGATGGCCTACTTTGATTGATTGCCAAAAGACCCTTTGTTTATAGAGACTGATGATGCCGCAGCTGATAATGAGCTTTGAGTTTAGACTCTTGTGTGTGGAGCAGGCTACAATTAGAGTCTTTGGTGCTTGTATTTCTTTTGATGAAAGCTTAAGCTTGGTTAAAAGTGAGAGGGAGGAAAAAAAAGTGAGAGGGAGGGGCTGTTCTTGGATTGTACAATTTTATTGGGACCTGCCTCTCTAAACCTTAGCTAGCCTGTCTCAACCAGGGTCAGCGAAGTGGAACCATTGTCTAAAGGAAGACCCAGCATCTAAAGCTTGTATCTTTTTCCCAAGAAGACCTACTTTACAGTATAATTGATTCCCCTTTCCCCTTGTTTGTTTAATCCTGAGGGACAGAAAACTCCCAGCTAAACAATACCTCTCCTGATCCATTCAGGCCCCGCTGGCAGGCCATCAATGTAGCTGTTGAATTAAAAACAATACAGGGGCTCAGATGATACAGACAAACTTCTAAAAAGAATCTGTTGGAAGATTTGAAATATAATTTGCATCATCTCAGTCCTGGCCTGATGTAGAAATTAGTTGTCCATGACTGAAGCTCAGGCACTAAAAACCAGTGCAACTAAACCAGACCCAGCCTTGGGGTTGATCGTGACTCATGGGAGCCCCAGGTGTCCCGGG